ACTCACCTGTACTGTTGGGAGAAGGACTCACCTGTACTTTAGGGAGAAGGACTCATCTGTACTCTAGGGAGAAGGACTCACCTGTACCGTAGGGAGAAGGACTCACCTGTACTGGATGAACTGCGAGGCTTCTGGGTCAAACTTCTTCCAGGTTTTATAAAACATCTGGAAGTCGTTGTCACTCAGTGGCTCTGCGTCCTCAGACTTGAAGGTCTCCAGGATGACGATGATGTACAGGTGGACCACCAGCAGGAAGGTCAGGCAGACGTGGGTGACCATGAAGACGATGGCGACTGCCGGGCTGCCACAGTTTCCTCTGATCATGGATCCTGGGTTCTCCATGTCGGGATCGCATTCTGGCTCAGTGTTCATGATGGGAATCAGAAAATCGCCCCATGAACCTGAAGTAGTCATCAGTATCAAACAGATCATGCTGTTCCCAAACGTCTCAAAGTTAAACATGTCGTTCAACACAAACTCCTTCTTCACATAGGCAAAGTTAAACATGCAGAAGACAGAGGAGGTGAACATGATGATGAAGAGGAGGAGGCCAATGTTGAAGAGGGCAGGAAGTGACATCATGAAGGCATTAAGCAGCTTCCGTATCCCCTTGGCCCAGTAGAGGATACGAAAGATATGCACCACTCGCAGCACCATGAAGAGAGAAGGCGACACAAAGTATTTCTCGATGAGGTCAGTAAAAAAAATGCCTAGAGAGAGACAGAGAGAGAGTTTGAGTTATTAAACAATCATAAATTCCCCAAAAATATTCTAGATTTACAATGGTTACAAAAAACAATAATAAAATTAAAGACACACATCTGCAAAAGCAAATTTCAAGTCCCTTAAAGTGAAAAGTGTGCCTTCATAATCCGACACATCTTCAAAAAAATCAAAACATTTGAGGTAATATTGATATTCTAACAATACTCATGCTGTAACTACACTCCTGAAAATAAAACAAAAAAACAATCAATCAATCATTATTGACCTCTTTCTTCTACATCAGTTGCACTGAGCGACTAATAATGATTTGGGTTTGTTTACGTTGGAGTTAGTTGAATGCGCGGTGTGTCAGTATCAGACGCAGAGGGACACTGATTTAGTTGTGAGTGAGACCTACAACAGTTGGGAGGGTTAGGAGTGAGACCTACAACAGTTGGGAGTGAGACCTACAACAGTTGGGAATGAGACCTACAACAGTTGGTAGTGAGACATACAACAGTTGGTAGTGAGACATACAACAGTTGGGAGTGAGACCTACAACAGTTGGGAGTGAGACCTATAACAGTTGGGAGGTTTGGGAGTGAGACCTACAACAGTTGGGAGTGAGATCTATAACAGTTGGGAGTGAGATCTACAACAGTTGGGAGTGAGATCTATAACAGTTGGGAGTGAGATCTATAACAGTTGGGAGTGAGACCTACAACAGTTGGGAGTGAGACCTACAACAGTTGGGAGTGAGATCTATAACAGTTGGGAAGTTTGGGAGTGAGACATACAACAGTTGGGAGGTTTGGGAGTGAGACTTACAACAGTTGGTAGTGAGACCTACACTGTTTGGAGTGAGACCTACAACAGTTGGGAGTGAGATCACGTTTCACTATTTATTACAGGCCAACATGTGAAGCAGTGACAGTGACTTCGGTGGGTTACATCTGTACGTCTTCACAGCCAGGTAAGGAGATAAAAGATTTTCCTTCAGGGTCTTTAAGTTTCTAACAGTGGAACAGGAAGTGGTCATCGTTGTGGGATAAAAAACAATGAAATGCATTTAAAATGTTGCCTGAACAAAACAAAAGAATTCTCTTTAATCCTACATTTGTACTTTATATATTAAAACATGTGATGCCTCTAAATTAATCCAAAATAACGACAGACTCACCTAGGATGGAGATGGTGACCACCAGGAAGTCCAAGATGTTCCAGCTGTCGGTGAAGTAGTGCTGTCTGAGCGCGATGATCTTCAAAATGAACTCTGTGAAGTAGAGGATGATGACAACGAAGTGGAACCATAACAGAATGTTTTCCGTTTGTTCGCTCTGCTGGTCTGACTCCACCATCAGGGTCACCATGTTCAGGCAGATCACCACCACCACCAAGACTTGAAAAGACCGTTTAGTCACCAGGTCAAAGAGCCGAGCCTGGAGGCAATTCTACATGAGACAATAAGCAGACAATGTCAAAGGGACATACGACACACAGAAACGATTAATCGCAAAAAAATCATACGATTAAAAATTGTAATCGTTGCCCAGCACTAGAATTTATTCATAGTTTATTCAGTTTATTATGAATTTATTTACAGTTTATTCAGTTTAT